TGAGTGACCGCCTTCAGCTCAGGTCATGATCTTGGAGTCCCAGGATCAAGTCCCAAGTCCCACATTCCTTCGGGCTCCCTGCTAAGCCGGGAGTCTGCTTCTCCCTATGACCCTCTCTCCTCTCATGCTCTCTCTCTCAAATAAATAAATTTAAAAATCTTAAAAAAAAAGAGTATTTATTTCAATAAATTATAGAAAGAACCAGAAACCAAAATTAATCAGGAAATATCAAAAGCTGACATGAATGAAATGGAGAACAAAAATACTAAAAAGCATGAATTTTAAAAAGTTCTTTAAAAGGGCTAATAAGGGGGATGCCTGGGTGGCTAAGATGGTTAAGCATCTGCCTTCAGCTCAGGTCATGATCCCTGGGTCCTGGGATCGAGCCCTGCATTGGGCTCCCTGCTCGGCGGGAAGCCTGCTTCTCCCTCTCCCACTCCCCCTGCTTGTGTTCCCTCTCTCGCCGTAGGTCTCTCTGTCAAATAAATAAAATCTTAAAAAAAAAAAATAAAAGATAAATAAAAGGGCTAATAAAGTAAACCTCTTATAAGCACAAAGAAAGAGAAAAAAGAGCAAAAATAGACAAGATTAGTTCTGAGAAAGAAAACATGACAGAAGAAAAAAATTAAAGAATTATAAAAAGGTGCAACCTAAAATTACTCATCAAATAACGTGAAAATTTAGAGGAAATGCATACTCTTCAGGAAAAATGTAAATGACCAAAAGTGGCCCAAGAGAAAGAAGAATAGCTCAACCTACCTTAGAAAAAACTAGAATAAGGTGATTATAGACCTACTTTTGGAAAAGATTGCATTCAAAGGGCACCAAAGCTGAGTTTTATCTATTCTTTTTTTTTTTTTAATTCATTTGAGAGAGAGAAAGAGAGAGAGAGAGAATGAGCTGGGGGAGGGCAGAAGGAGAAGGAGAAGTAGACTCCCCACTGAGCACGGAACCTGCTGGGGGAGGGCAGAAGGAGAAGGAGAAGTAGACTCCCCACTGAGCATGGAACCCAAAATTGGGCTCTGGGGCACTATCCTAGGACCCTGAGATCATGACCTGAGCCAAAGTCAGATGCTTAATGGACTGAGCCACCTAGGCGCCCAAGTTCTATTTATTCTTAAATAATGAAAATTTCTGGGTGCCTGGGTGGCTCAGTTGGTTAAGCAACTGCCTTCGGCTCAGGTTATGATCCTGGAGTCCCAGGATGGAGTCCCACATCGAGTCCCACATCGGGCTCCCTGCTCGGCAGGGAGTCTGCTTCTCCCTCTGACCCTCCCCCTTCTCCTGCTCTCTCATTTTCTCTCTCAAATAAATAAATAAATAAAATCTTTAAAAAAAAATAATGAAAATTTCCATGCCATTTAATCTAGTCAATACTATAGGAAAAGAAGAAAAGTTCCCATATTTAATATTTAGAGCCAGCATAATTTAATACAATTCCTAATAAAAATTCTTTTTTTAAAACTTTCTTTTTTTTTTTTAAAGATTTTATTTATTTGACAGAGAGAGAATGCAAGAGAGGGAACACAAGCAGGGGGAGTGGGAGAGGGAGAAGCAGGCCTCCCGCTGAGCAGGGAGCCTGATGCAGGGCTTGATCCCAGGACCCTGGGGCCATAACCCGAGCCAAAGGCAGACGCCCAAGGACTGAGCCACCCTGGCACCCCCCCTAATAAAAATTCTAAGTAAAAATGAGAAAGAGGAAAACTGCTGAAACATAATGAAGACTTTTTACTAAAACCTAACAGCAAATATTGTTCTCAATGGTGAAATATTAAAACCACTTCCATTAAAATAAACATTTAGACAGAGATGCCTGCTATTATTCTTATTATTTAACATATCTTGGACGTCTTACCAAATGCAGGAAGTCCTTAACCACATTTACATTTTTGTTAAGTAAAGGAACATATGCACAGGTTCTGGGGATTCAAGTGTGAACATTTTGGAGAGGCCCTTAATCTGCCTACCATGCTCTGTCTATATGGATTAGCACCACCTGGAGTCAGTGGATTAAAGTAGTGAAGATGGATATCACCTGACTCTCAGGGTCTCAGGAGACTTCCTTGACTTCTTGATGTGGGCTGGACTTCACCCAAGTTTACACAGATGAGCCCCTTTCCACACAGCAAACTCTTACCCAATGCCCTCATAGCTGGGCTCCCTCTTGTTGACCTTTACAACACAGAGCCCTGTAATACACAATGCAGAAGCTAGGAGAGAGCAAGGAGCGGGCTCTGGTGTCTGTCCTGGAGGTGCTCACATGATATGATGGCTATGCAAAAGCTGAAATGCATAGCACTGGCCTCTCGGCTCTGAAAAGCCCACAGGCTCTCCTGGCATGTGGGCAGGTGAGGCGCAGCCTGAGTTACAGGCATCCTTCATGATGTCCAATCTTGCAAGGTTATGTGAAGGTCAATTTTGCAAGGACCACATGTGACACACATGGGGAAGAAGGATCCCGCTTTCACAGCCTAGTCTGAAAAGAAGACATTGGAAGGGAAAGGAGAGCATCCTAAGGGGCTGTGTAACCATCACCAAAAGAGCTAAGGAGGACGGAGATGCAGGCCGGGCCTTCTTCACGCATCCGTGCCATTGTGGAAATGCAGTCTAGCTCACTCCAGTTGCATCGGGTGCCCTTCCTTCTGAAGCCTCTCCAAGGGTCCGTTTAGGCAGCATACCCATTGATTCTTTTTTTTGAGCACATACTGGAAACCTGGTTTGGCATTTTAACTGGTATCCAGGCCATGTTCACTTGTGTACTGGTTCTGAAAACTAGGGCATTATCTACAGTTTACTGAATTCCTGCAAATGTTCCTGCAACTGATCTACATACGCGCTGCCCCCACCCTCGTACACTACTCCAAGTACCCCTCCGCCCCCGCCGCCCCCAGCTGCTCGATATGCTCCCACTCAGGCTCACAGGCCCCAGAGGCCCCCAGGGAGCCACCAACTCTCCCCACCGTCTGTTATCTGGAGGAAGCCCTGATAGGGGGACTGGGGGAGGGTTGTTGGAAACTTTAATTAAGCAAGGATGGTTAACAGCTGCAGGGTCACCTTAGGAAACAGTGAGCTTGAGAAAAGAAATATTTCTATCATTTGTCCCCATGACCTTGTAAGACTTTTCTGCAAATGGCTCCTCATTCCCTGCCATGGAAAAAAATAACAGCCATCACATGCACCCTTCAGCCCACAGAATCCTCTGAGCTTAACCCTTCCAGCAGGCCCTCTCACATAGAAGCTCACCTCGCACAGACACCCCAATGGACCACAGAGACCTGAGGATGCATGTTCACACGTGCACACGCACACTCATGCATACACCTGCCTCTTCTCAGGTGACAAATGTGCTTTCCTACCTCAGTGGGCACTTTCTCTGCGAGGGTTGGGTGGTGTGGCCGGGCGGAGCTCTCAGCAGACCCACAGGGCCCGTTACAACCCCTCCACACACCACTACACGACAGCTGTTAGCATGCAGCGAGGACCTCTTTCCCCTTCCTTTTTCCTCCCCACAGGTGCGGCGTGTGAAGAGGTTCTGCGGGGGCAGATGCCACCCCCTGCAAGTGGGTTTTTTCCCACCCACATAGCCTGTCTTGTCTCAGCCTCTTCGCACCCGCAGAAGTAAGCCCTTTTGGGGTCATTGCTTGGTGAAAGAATGTTAGGGAGCACCTCTGAACCATGCTCAACAACCCTCCTTCCCCTGCCGGTTTCCCTTCCTTCTATCGGCCAGGCCTTCACCACCCATGAGGGCCTCGAGCCCCTGGTCTTCTCCCACAAACACCCCCTTTTTGCTTGGGGCTGGGTGTAAAGGGACAATGTTGAGACTTTTTAAGGGAAGAACTTTAGGTAAGTAAGAAAACAAAACAAAACAAAACCAAGAAAATATCAAAACCTCAGGTCCAGAGTCTGTGAGCTCAGCATCCAGCGCTTTCCTTGCCTCCCTTCTAAGAAGCCACTGCCCTTCTTCATCCCCATTCAACTCCTTTGCTCACCAGCCCTGACCCCCCACAAGGGTGTATAATGGCTCAGTGCTGCAGGTTTTTCCAAAGGCGCACAAGCTTGGGGTTGTCCCTCATCCTCACCCCCAGCCCAGGCCTATCCCCAAGCCTGTGCCTCCCGGACTCAGCTTGCTGGATCCAGCTCAGATGTCTGGACACAGGATGCTATGAGTCCAGCAGGGGGCAGGATGGGATGAGGAAGGGGCTGATTGGCCAAAGGTGTGATCAGGAGGGAACAAGGCTGGACAAGGCCAGGGAAAGGCTGTGAAGAGGGAATCTCGGGGGGGGGGGGGGGGGGGGGTTGGTTAGAGAAGAGAAACAGTGTGGTCCCAGATCCTCTGCATCCTCCAAAGCGCTGTCACATTCTCAGGAAGGGCTTTGGAGTGAGAACCTCCCTGTGTGTGAGATCCTCAGCAGTTCTGCAGGACTACAGCAGGAGGGGAGCTGGGTCTACCCTGAAAGCCTCCAAATTGATAGGGAAATGAGCTCCGCCAAATCAAAGGCCCCTTTCGGGGAGCCCATACCTGCCGGGAACCCCAGGATGATGAGGAGCAGAGGCTCCACACTAGGATCCCCCAATATGATGGGGAGGATGGAGCTCTACTGTGGGAGATCCTCTGGGTTCAGCTGGGCACAAAAGAGCTCTGACAACACATGGATAAGCCCGTGGACATAGCAGCCAAGAGAAGAGCATAGGGCAAATCAGGGTAGATGATCAGGAGGACATGCATTTAGAGTGCAGCACTGCCAAAGTGCGTGTAGGATGCATGAAGGGGGAGCACAGGCAGGACGAAGGGACAGGCCTAAGTAGTGATCCAGTGACACCTCCAGGCTCTACGCCTATGTTCTGGACCTCAGTTTCCCATCCCCTGTCCCTCTGGCAGAGGCTCAGGGATGCAATCTGCTTCACTGAACCCATCTGTCTGACACTTGTTCACATCTTCCTCTTTTGTAACTAGAAGTCACAGGGCAAAGCACTAAGCTGTGCAGTCACAGAAGGAACACAGAGCCTAAGAGTGTGAAGGGACAGAGGGGACAGTGTCAAGAGAAGCTTGGAGCTGGTGGAAGAAGGGGGAGACAGGTGGGAGCAGAGGTGCTCAGGGCAATGGCAGAGGCCATCACCTATGCAGACCTGCGATTCGTGAAGGCTCCCCTGAAGAAGAGCATCTCCAGCCGGTTAGGACAGGGTAAGGGTGAAAGAGGCATCTCTTTGATTTTGCATCCCCAAGCTCCCTCATGACCCCACCCCCACCTCACCTTTTCTCTCTTCTCCAGACCCAGAGACTGATGAGGATGAGGAACTCACCTATGAGAATGTACAAGTGCCCTCAGTCTCAGGTGGGCCCTTGAGCTCGGCTTCTTCTGGAGTAAGGGACAAAGCAGGTACGGAGAGTCCAGAGGATGTATCTTTGACGGGGTGGGGTGAGTGGTGTGTGTGTGTGTGTGTGTGTGTGTGTGTGTGTCTTGAGCTGGGACTCCACGGTATTCTTGAGCGGGCGGGGGGCGGCGGGGGAGACACAATCCCTGGGAAAGGAGGAGGGTGCTTAGGAAAGAGAAGAATGAGCCCTGGGTAAATGGGAACCAAGGAAGAATAAAGCTCCCCGGGGCAAGGTGGAGGTCCCAGTGGGGAGAAAAGGGCTCCTAGGAGAGATCAGGGCAGCCCCTGTGGAGATGAATTCGAATGGGAAATGGGGAGTCACGGGACAGAGAAAAGAGGGTAGGGGAGAGGGATGAGAGCACTTCTCGGGAGAAGGTTTGGGGCAGGCCGATGGGGGGTGCTGCGTAAAACCTAAGGGGAGACCCAGGAGGGAGAGGAAGGGGTCCCGGGGGAGAGGATGTAGTAAGACCCAGGAGAGACACAAGAGTCCTGGGGGAGATGCGGGACTCCGGAGAGTGAGTGCTAAGGGTGTCCCAGAGCATCTCAGGATGTCGCAGAAGGCTTCTCGGGCCAGACTGGAGGGGGAGAGGTGGAGGGGGAGAGGGTGGAAAGAAGGGGAATTTCCCGTCTTCAAACTGGACTTGCTGCGGGTCCTCAGGGCTCCAGTCAGAGCAGCCAACTGCTTCCTGGAGCTCCGTGACGTCACCAGCTGCCGGGAGGCTCCTCGCGGGTGAGTACCCAGCCCTCCCCGCCTGCGCGCGCCCCCGGCGCCCCAGCTGGCGCTCGGGCACGCGGAGCGGGGCGGGGCGGGGCCTCGGGTGGGGCGGCCTCTCTCACTCCGCCGACCCCGCTACGCCGCGCGGGGTTGACACCAAGTACGGTGCTGGCGCGGTCCCTCGGGGCTGGTGCTGGGCCCGGCGGTGTGCGGGTCCGGTACCGAGAGTGAGCCCGGGAGCAGCCCTCCGGACTGCCTCTTTGACCCCTATACCCATATGTATCATTCCCACAGGTTGACCCAGATCCTCCCTCCTCCCCCTTTACGGTGGTCCCCATTCACATACCCCCGTCCTCTGTCACCATCTGAGATTTAGTTCCCATCCTACCAGGTAGCGCCCCTCAATCCTTACCAGTAACGATCCCAGCCCTTATTCTGGAACATCTTCCTTCCGCTACCTGCGGAAATCCACTACCCCACAAACCCCACCATGCCGGCACCACATCCTCTGAGGGTGCTCTTTCCCATGAATATCCCCCACCCACCCAGCCCCTCAGTCTCTAAACTTTCCTGGGGCTCTCTGCCCTTCATCCCACTGTCTCCCGAAGGCCGCGCAGCCTGTACGCAGTACCTCTTTCTCGGCCTGCTCCTCACCTGCCTGCTGTTAGGGGTGGCCGCCATCTGCCTGGGAGTGCGCTGTGAGTATGGCTGCTCCCCATTTCCCACTTGCCCCAAGCAATTTTTTCCCCTACTCTCCCCCAATAGCTGCCCTTCCTCTGGGCAGGGCCCAGAGTCACTACCACCATATCCTTAGCTTTTCATCTAGTTTCTAGCCAGGTCTGTTTTAGAGTGTGGTGTCTTCCTAAATTTTCTTTACCTAATCCAGTACCTCCTTAAGCTTGAGGCAGTCAGATCTTATATTTCAGCCTGTTTTGCAAAAATTTGCAAGAATCAGAAAAAGGACTGATGCTGAAGTCTCAGGGCACCAGGGCATGGCTCAAGAAGATGTCCTCCAAATCTCTCATTATGGTCGAACAGATCTGCAGGTGTCTCAGCAGCTCCAGCAGACGAACAGTGTTCTGGAAACCACTAACAGCAGCCTGAGACAGCAGCTCCTCCTAAAGATAACCCAGCTGGGGAAGAAGGAAGAGGATCTGCAAGAGTCCAGGAGGGAACTAGCCCAGAGTCAGGAAGCACTACAGGAGGAACAGAAGGTTTGCCAGGCTACCCAAGAGCAGTTACAGGCCTGCTGGTCTGAGAAGGAGAAGACAAAGGAGGCCTTGCAAAGTGAGGAGGTGCAGAGGATGACCTTGGAGCAGAGGCTGAGCAGCATGCAGGACACATTGAAGCCCTTATTCACATGCCTCTCAGCAGGTATCCGCTCTGGGAGAGGAGAGATGGGAGGGTCTGCTCTGAGGGATGGATTGAAGTGAGGAGACACTCGTGGCAGGGGTCTATCTTTCAGGGGGCCATTGAGTTGTTGAGGGAAGGGATAGCAAGTGAGAGTGGTGGCCAGCAGAGAGGAGGATCAAGCTGCTTTCTGGATTTAGGGCGGCTCACAGAACTCTCAGGCAGATCCTGAAGGAGGAAGGAGGGTGGCTGCTGGAAATGCAGATCACACTGTCCAAACCGCCAAACTTGGGTCTCTGCCCTTGATATCAGTGTCAAAGATCTGGGAACCTCCTGAGTTGGGACGTGGAATTGGTTGTTTGCACATTTTTCTAAAGAGAGGGTCTATAGCTTTAATTATTTCTCACTACATCTGAGATTCCCCAAGGGTTAAGAATTACTGATTGATGAGGTGCGGTGTGGCGGTGGGGCAAGGTAGCTGAAGCTCTCAGGTGTGGGTGGCACTCACAATGAGGTGGGTGGGGGTGAGGTGGGGGAGGGAGCTGGGGTGGAGAGTTCATCTATTTTGAAGGCAGGAGCCCAGGCAGTATGTGGGGAGGAGGGAGGGGGCCACAGAAAAGGGGAGAGGCTGTGCAAGAAGCAGGCTGAGGTTCAGGCAGGGAGCCAGGCCCAAGGTGACTGGAATGTTCATGCACCGGTTACCTATGGTTCAGGTTCGGCTCCGTCTAGCTCAGGGGGCATCGGGAGACTCCTCCCCGGGAGTCCCCCCCCCCCCGCAGGCCATTCCCTCAGCTGCACCCCAGACCTCAGCTCTTCTGCTGGAAGGCTGGTTTCAGACCTCCACTCTGACTACAGCTGCCTCCTCCAGGCTTTCCCCACACTTCTTCTTCAACCTCATTGATGCCTCCAACCCACTGTCTCCCGTTTCCTCCCTTTGCCTCGGCTGTCACTTCTCTGTCTGCCCATCTTGGCTTCTGGGGCCCATCACTTTAGCCACTGGCTCCTTTGTTCTGTTGTCTTTCTGGTGCACCAGAGTGGCAATACCTCAACTCTGGATGAATTCCCCCCTTGCCCCTGCCGCACCCAGGTGTGCCGTATTGTGCTATCATTCTGCTTAGTGCCACCAAAACTCTAGTGTCAACCTCAGCCCGTTCCTCAGTGCCGCCTGGCAGCTGTGCAGTGGTTGGCTTGCTCTCCGGGTGAGCTCCTTAGCCTCCCATCCTCTCGCACTTTTAGCAGGTGCCCTGCTCCATCAAGATTCCCTCCATTTTCCACCACCGAGTCCATTCTCATTTCTGCCCACCCCCATCTTTTGCAAGGGTCACTGCAATGGCTTGCTGCATCATTTCTCCTAAACATTGCTCTCCCCCTCCCCCCACCCACTTGTCACGTGGCAGCCAGGGTAATCCTTTAAAAACAAAAATCTGATCATGTCATTCCAGTTAATTAATTACATCAAAAGTTATGGCATACATACTATACATACGTCCAAGCACTGTGCCCAAGCACTTGGGATATAGCCAGTGAACAACACTTCTCTATGTAAAACCCTACATTGACTTACTCTTCCTTGTAATATGAAAATAAAAAAATCCTTAGCCTGGCTTCCAAGGTCCCTGCCTACCTTTCAGCATGCCACTTACCCTCTCACCCTCTTCCATTTGGCCGCACTGACTTTGTATCCTTTTAGTTGCCATAGGACAGAAATTCAAGAGGGTAGCTGGGTGAGGACAAGAGACAATGTAGACAGAAGAGAGGGAGCTGGGGAAGGAAGGAAGGAAGGAAGGAAGGATCTTCGAGTGCCGCAGGTAGGACTCCTGGAACAAAGCAATGAGAGAGGTGGGCTGCGATCAGGAGCACAGATTGGGGTATGGGTTGTGAAAGAAAGAGGGATATTTCTTGCTTAGAGACAGGAACTGAGGAACAGAGCAGAGGCAGGTTTTTGGGTGGAAGGGAAGGAAAGGGAGAGAGTTCACATCAAGAGTCTGACAATTTCAGCAGAACAGCAACCAAGGTTATTACTTGTAGAAGAGTGGTGAGAGGGGAGGAAGTGGCTAGCAGCTTGGAGGGTGTGATCAAGTTTTGAATATGCAGCGAGGAATGCTTTAGGGAGCGATTGGGATGATTAAGAGGCCAATTGAACACTTATGGGGGGCCCAGGTGAGGTCAGCCAAAGTGTGGGGGGGAGACTGCAATCATTCAGAAATTGGGAATAGTATCACCACCCTATTAAAATAAACCTCCTAGACTGTTAAGGAGTGAGGTTGTGAATATTAAAGACTTTTACTAAATATGAATAGGAATGGCATTCCCAGGGGATGCCAAAGACAGATGGCAAAGATGAAGGGCTAGATGTCAGTGAAGGTGCCGGGACTAGACCAAGGTGGGCACTGTTAGCAACCAGACTGAGGAATCGTCACTTTCATCCCAAATGAGGAGAACTCCCTCCTGGGTCTGGGCTGTGCTGTCACTTTCTTTCTGGTTTATAGATACCTGTTGTCCGGTGGGATGGATACTGAACCAGAGGAGCTGCTTTTACATCTCATATACGGAGAGAAGTTGGGAGGAGAGCCAAAACCACTGTAAATCTCTCTCCTCTGACCTGGCCGCATTCAGTGACACTTCTTATTCTTTTTCAGTAAGCATACCTTATTCACAGACTGTAGCGGGTACTGTTAGGTAAAGGGATAGATGTCATCGAGTCAGGAACAGCAGTGCACACAGGGCACACGTTCCTTTGCCACGCAGCTTCTCAGCGCAGTGCTCCAGGTGCCCCCTACCAACCGGCCGGTGTTGGCACGAGAGTCAAAGCTCATGAACCATCTTTACTTGAAACTGTTTCTCATCTCAGCTTTCTGGTCACCTTCCCAGGGCTGCTGAACAGCGTCTTTGACTCTCTTGGCCTCTCAGGCAGAGAGGTCCCATATCTGGTGGGCTGGATTGTTGGGATTGGCTCCTTATGACCAGAGCAGCCCATGGAACGACTCCCCTTCAAAGGCTGGCAGAAATTCTTACCCAGCTGGGAGGTGAACTGAAGGGCGAGCCTGCATCTACAACCTGGCGCTTGAAGGCCGCAGGGACAGGTCACCGATGAGCTGATGTCTTGTGCCAGTCAGACAGTCCTCTTGTCAAAGCTCAGAGACCTCCCTGTAGTGCTCATTTTCTTCCATCGGCCCACGTCCCCTCCTCCCTACACCGCCCCCCCTGCACTGGAATATTTCTCATCGTTCTCCACATACCTCTTGTCTCTCTGAATCTCCCCTCAGCTTACAAACTCCAACAGTGCAAGGAAGATGTTGACACAAATTAGTCCGCCTGGTTCATTTTGGGCTGTTTCCAGCTTTAAGAGGTTGCAGCAGGCTGATGGTAAACAGGTCTTTCGGTAAGTCTGTTAGGACTTCTGGACATATTCAACTCCATAATTCCTTCATAAAGACATAGTAATGAGATTCCCCTCCTGCTCCCAAAGTTTTGGGAGGTCCTGCTCTCAAAACTCTTTCACAAGTCAATATTGTAATTGCTTACTTGTCCATTCCCTTTACTTAAAACTCTTTAGGACAGTCTTCTTTTCTGGCCCCTTCCCAGTACCTGGCAGCCCCAGACACTTTTTTTTTTTAAGTTACTGAGTTGGGACCTATGTCATCTTTCTCTCAGAGGGAGAAGCTGAGGCTTTAGCTAGGACTTCACAGCTCATGAACCCTGGCATTCTAACTTCCCATCTCTTGACAAGGCTACCCAAACTGAGGTGGCACTTTCTCAGTCAGGGCCTCTTGGGGCACTATAGTTGCCTCAGGGAAGTGAGGGAGCAGTGGGACAACTCTGACAATCAACTCCAGGGACCCTGAAACAGGGGAGTCATCTCCTATGTTCCCTATGGAGTTTCCATCTTTAATATCTTGGGTGATTTTTCCCTCCCCTGGTCCTGAAGCTTCTTTGAGTTAGAGTAGACATCTGTCCCTGAACCATACCCAAACATTGCCCTTAGGCAGGCAGGGCAAGTTAGAACTTCATTGTGTTTAATGCAGGGCAAGAGGAGAGAAGGTAGGGTGGGAGAGGAGGGGCAGGGCTTAACCCAGTTCTACCTCGCCAATCTATGTATTATAGTCAAAGCTCAAGATGTTACAAGGTACAAAGCAAGTGGCTAAAAATGCAGTGGGAGGACTGTACTTCTCGTCATCCCTGCATCTGTGAGATGGCAGCTTTCAAGCATCCAGATCCAGATAGGGACCACTTTTCGCCCTGAGTTGGGTAAGCATGACAAATCGACTGAGGCATGGGAGTTGGGGACGAGGGAGGGAGAGGAACTCAGAGCAAGGGCTCAAAAGCCAGGGGTAAAGCTTATTCCTGAGCGTGACGGTTACCTCTACAGCCTTCAAGGTCTTGGTCTGCTTATGTAAGGGGGGTCCTGGGGTCGGGCAGGAAAGGTCTGGAACTGAAGGGAGGCTGGTGATGTGGCTGTCCAGGGAGGTGGGATGAGCTGGACAAATGTTCTTAGTAACAGTCAACTGCAGAGCTCACTGGTGCTTTACTCTTATAGGTACTCTTGCCAACAAGAGCCTGTACCCCTCACCGCTAACTGCAGTCTGCAGGCCCTAAGATCATCTCCCTCCAGCGTCCCGTTACTCTGCCTGGGCAGTGCCCAGGCAAGGGCTGATCCATGCCCAACACTTCCAGCCAGCCTGCTGCCTGCTTGAAATCCTGCCCCAGAAACTGGACTGTTCCTGGGAAACGGGTGAAGAAGTCGTTAGATTTTGGCCTCCCCAAGAACTTCCTATGGTGAATTGCAGGGGGGTGGAGGAGGGCGCATGGACTGAGTGGATAGGGGCAGCCCGGAGCCAGCCAGGCAGTTTTATTGAAATATTTTTAAATAATTGCACGTGTTAGTCTCATGTGTCAGCAATGCTTTGTCTGGTTCAGTGATCGCCCACAGGAGAGCAAGCCCAGGGGCTGGATAGGAAACGTTCTGTCCCTTGAATCCATGCTGAGGTTCCCCTACATGGGGAGAAGAGCCGGTCAGCCCATCTGGGGCTGGCACTGTCCAACATGTGTGCTCTGTCCTCACGGGGCTTCCTGAAGGCCAAAGTTGGAGGCCAGAGACCACAGGCCCCACTGCTAAGAGCGCGCCCCGGGCAGCTGCAGGCCGGGTGTGGGAGGCTTGGCGTGGTGCCCTCGGTGGCAGAGGAGACTGCCCGCCTCACAGTTCAGGTTGCGGTAGCGGGCAACAGCTGGTGTGGGGCGGGGGCACATGGACAGGAAGCCAAAGCTGAAAGGGCCAAGACAGCAGCCGGGGCAGGGCAGCCCCTCATCAGACTCCCGGGGAGCTGAAGGGGGCGGCGAGGGTTCTGTCCGCTCCAGGGCTGCTGCCCGGGGCAGGCTATGCTGGGCCCGGTTCCATGGCTCCCCAGCCCAGCCTTGTGGGGAGTTCACCACAACAGCTGGGGGGTTGTTGTTAAGGACAGGTCCTGATCTAGGGGACCAGGGCTGGGAGGCTGAGGAACAAGTGCTGATGAAGTTGTCTGTGGCCACGGCCAGGGGCAGCTGGGGAGCTGGTCCTGGGGGTTCTGGCTCAGGGCTACTGCCCTCACACTCCATTCTTTCTTCAGCCGAGGGGCCCATACTGGGAGGGCCAGGACCTGGCAGTGCTGTCTCCATACGTCGGGGGAGCTCAGGGGATGATGGGAGCGAGCGGCAGCGACGGGCAGGTGTCCCCGGGTGGATCAGGGTCTCTGGAGTGGTCACCAAGGGCAGCTGCGTGGAGGGCAGTGGTGATGGTGGAACAAGGGGCAGGGGGCCGACTGGCTTGCTGGGTGTGTCCAACAGCTTGATCTTGCCTCCCCGGAGGTCTTCCCGGAGTGAGAAGGGGTTGACACGAGTCAGATTGTCCCCCCAGTTGGGGGGTGATTCTGGTGACGGGGGCAGGAAGAGGTCTGACCGGCTTCGGGAAAGCCGGGGGTCTGGCCTAGGAAGTGTGGCAGAGGGACCCCCTCTTGAAACAGACCCTGTGGACAGAGAAGTCTGTGGTTACTGTTCTCAGCATTGATCATGGCTCCCTGAGGCCTCATTATTCACCAGGAGGCTGGTGGGACTAGAGCTTACAAAAGGGAGTCCCATTGGGTACTTTGGACAGGGGGAGATGTCACCTCTAGCCCTCCTTTACCTCTTCTTTCCTTCTTCCCCTCCCTTGGCTCTAGAATTTGAAAATATCTTATTTTATGAAAATATCTTTCATACCCCCACATCCCCCAACTAATAAATACACTTAGTCTTAATCCCCTGAGTTCTAAGGAAGAGGCAGAAGGAATTCAGTTGGGTCAAGGTCATGCTCACTTACTCTGATTGTGTGTCAGGGGAGCTCTGGTGAGGGGGGCTGGCTCAGGCAGCTGCTCCAGGATCCATTCCAGATGCTGGGTGATTTCGGTGAAGGGAGCACGAGTTCTAGGTTCCATCTGATGGGTAGAGACAGGGACAGCTTCACTCAGTACTCCAAAAGAGGGTCCCTATGTTTTCCTCCCACCACCTGGAACAGGAAAGCCTTGCCAGCTGATGGATGGGGGTGGTGGGCAGGGAGAGAGAGGCTCTTACACTGCAGCAGTGGATGGCCAGAAGCAGGAAGGGCAGTGGGCAGTCATCCCCTACCAGGGTCCGGAAAGCAGGCACATCCAGGCCAAAGTCCTGTGAGGACAGAGAGGAGGGGCCTTCAATTCAGCTTTCCTTGGGTTCGCCTTCTGCCCCCCAGTCAGGACCTCAACCTCCAGGGAACCCTCCTTGGTTATGGGCTACCCAGTCTGGAGCTCCCCCTTATCAAACCTGGAGACATCATTCACCTCAGTTCGGGGTAGGTAATCTGGGTCCGCAGGTACTCGTGCAATGAGCTCACAGAGGACAATCCCAAAGGCAAAGACATCGGCCTGGGGGAGGAGACAATGTCAGCGGGAGTAACTGATGGTTTTCATGTCAGAATTTTGTCAGAATATGTCAGAATTTGGGGGAAGTCTTGATAGTTTTATGCGTTGGAGGGGTGCCTATGAGGGGGCAAGGGGAAATTTGGGGGTCTCCTAAATATTCAGTATGGCTGTTATAGAACTTGGGATGGGGCCTTATAAAAGTATCTCAAGGGTCTCTGGAAGGCCTTGGAACCTGAAGGATTGATGTCTTACCTTCTCATCATACAGCTCACCCCGCAACACCTCTGGAGCCATCCAGTATGGGGAACCTACCACAGCCAATGGCTCCTTTCTTGCCCCTTCCCTGCAGGGGTAGGGGCAGAGTGATCAGAGACACCCCACTCAGATAACCCCCCTAAACAAAAAGGGATGAGGTCAGCCCCCTCCCCACTCCAAAGGAAATGTCTCTGGGGGCTTCACTTAGATAGGGACTTTCTAGAAAGTTTGGGGGGGCCCAGGGGCATTCACCTCACCTATACACAGGAATCTTTTCAGCCAGCCCGAAGTCACCCACAACAGCCGTGAAGCCTCGGTCTTCCCGTCGGATCAGACAGTTCTGACATACATACAGCCATCACCTTCTGTTCTCTGATCTCCCAGTATATACCCCAAAGCCCTGTCACTCCACAGTAACCCCAACCCTCTCTGATCTCCCAGTTCTCCAATGCACCCCAATCTTTCAACATCATCTATCACTCCAAACATAGCGTGGTACTCAGCCCCTCAGAGCTCCCCCTCACCCCAGTCCCCATTCTCCAGGGCCTTGCTACTCCGACATCCTAACAGGTCTACTATCCATATTCCAATATCTATGGGCCGGTTACAATGTAATAGCCTCAAATCCCCTTTCATGCCTCCACCCACCTGGCCAGCCTACCTTGGATGTTAGGTCTCGGTGGAATACACCTTTGGCATGCAGGTACCGCAGGCCGTGGGCAATGTCCAGAGCCAGGCGGAGCCTGACAGGCCAGGATAGGGGTTCTGGGGAGCTGAGCAGCTGTTCCAGGGTCCCCCCATTCATATACTGAGGCATAGGGGAAGAAGGGGAATGAATGTTAAGGTTTCCGCCGGTACTCTAGGTCTCCCACTTATAAGCCAGGGGACACTGAGGAGGAGGGATCACAAAGGTCAGAAGGGTAAGTCTGTGCTCTAGGGTCCCCCACTCATATTCTGGGGCTGTCCTGTCCAAGACATGTGCAACTATTTAAATTATTAAGTTTAAATAAAATTAAACATTTAGTTCCTCAGTCACACTGGTCATATTTCTACTGCTCCCTAGCCACATGTAGCTATAGAACATTTTCATCACTACAGAAAGTTCTATTGGACAGCATTGTTATAGCGCATATAGAGAATGTGACCAACTGAGGCATTTTATTTGTGATTAGCCCAAAGGAAGTTCAGGGAAGCCTCTCATGGGAGGAGGTCCTGCCACCTCTCAGTATTCCTCTGTAGATGCACTGGGCGCTGACACTCTCTCTCCCCTTGGTGGTGGTGGGGGTCCCCTCCTTCCTGACCCATCCTCACCTCTGTAAGAGCGTGCAGCTGCCCCTGGTGCACACAGACCCCCATGAACCTGGAAGAGGATGGAGAAGATAGGAGGGTAGGTTGTAAGAGTCCAGGCCCCTCTACAGTTCCCACTTTTCCCGCGGGATCTTTCCTCTTCTCCCAGCAAGCTTCTCAGCAAGCGGCTGGGGCCGCTCACCTTAGGATGTTGGGGTGTCGGAGCCGGTTCATCAGCTGCACCTCCCGTAGCGTGTTTCCCCGGTTACTGGGGAGTCTGTTCATTTTCAGCACCATGACTTGCCCTGACTGTCGGTGCCTAACCTGGGGGCGGCATAGGCTGGCGAGTCCAGGGCAGACCGGCCAGGTCGCGCGGGTCGTCCGGGTCTGGGCCCCCTAGTTCCAGCCTCCCGTCTAAGGCTCGGTCCCGCCCCTCTGCTGATCCTACCTTGTAGACCTCAGAGAAGAATCCGGCCCCGATCTTCTCGGCGCAGTGGAAATCGTCCACGCGCGCCAGGCTGGACACGGCGCTGCGGAGAGCCCGGTAGGAGGAGGGGCGGCCCCGGCCCGGGCCTCCACCCGTGCCCCCCGGTCCTGGGGGCCCCTCCCCCGGCGCCTCTCCCGGCCCTGGCCCAGGGCCCCGCAGTGGGGGCCGTTCCCCGGCCATGGCCGGGCCCCCAGCCCGGGCCTGCTTCACATGGCAGGGTCCCCGGGGCCCGGGCAGGCCGCGCTTGCCATGGGCGTGCGCCCAGCCGGATCCGGGACGCCGGGGCTCCTGCTCCCGCCCTGGAGAATGGAAGATCCGCTGAAGATCTGGGCCCGCCCCCGCCGCGCCGGCTTGCAGGGCCCGGGTAGACGCCGCTCCGCTTCGCTCTGCGCAGGGACTGGGCCTGGGCCTGGGCCGGGCGGTGGCGGTGTCTCTTCTGGGCGCCGCCGGGCAGGCGGGCGGGCGGGCTCCCCGCAGGCGGAGGCGGGCTGGCTGGCGGGCGGGCGGCGGGCCGCGGCTCCGCTTCGCCGCTGGGGCTCAGGCTCCGCGGCCTGCCGGGGGCGGGGCTGAGCCGGGCCTCCGCTTAACTCCTTCCAGTCCGGCCCACGGGCAGCGGCCACGCCCCCTCAGGTACGCTACCCCCAACGGGTGGCCGCGACACCCTAGGCGAATGCGTCTGGGACGTCGGGGCCAAATAAGTTCTGGCCCGAGCTGAATAACTGAAGGGAATTACGGGCTGATTGTGCGTACGCGCAGCTCAAATGTCTTTTAGCTGCCCTGGGAGTCCTTTCTCTCCTCCCACCCTCAGGCCA